TGTGAGGAGCTGGAGGTGTACCAGAGCTTCCTGAAGGAAGGACGCTTCTGGAAAACGAAGATGGAGGACGGCAGCCCGCCACACCAACAGAGTCAGCGGCAGCAGCAGGAGGAGGGCAGCGTGAGGACGGACAGGATGGAGCGGACGGACGAAGCAGAGTCCAGCATCTCCTCCACCAGCAATGAGCAGGTCCGCCATGTAAGTGGAGCCATCGCGCTTTTAATCCGCTTTTTTTACTTTGTGAGTTACAGGATAAGATGTTGGAGGCCAAAGACGGCCAAGAGAATGTCTTCATGGGATTTTGATTTCCGTTAGTCTTCTACGTCTGCACACTTCCTGTGCTTTCAAAAACCTCTGTTCGTTTTCTTCGGGGTTGTTGCGGCAGCAGAGAAAGCAGAGATGGCCTGACCTCCCTCTCTCCAGCTGTCTACTGAGCTCTTCCATTCACCTCTCCAGTACACCCTGGATGGGCCCAGTATCAGTTGTACACCCGGAAACAATCTTTTTGTTGTTTCTTACTTTCAAAAATAGCTTTTTAATGTTGTTTCTGTTTCAAAGCCCTCCTTAAAACTTAATGAGTTTTTTCTAAAAAGCACAAAAGCCAGTTTTGAAGCTAACGTGAAAATCATGAAGGCCTGGAAGGTTCTCAGTTTCCCTGGATGAAAAGAGCAGCATTAATATTTTTGACCGGATAGTCGAACCTCTGGGAATAAATGCTTTGTCCCTTTTTGTTTCCGGTTTTCATCATGTGAAAACTATGACAGTTGACCTGGTAATGTTCCAGTTTGTGTGAATGAAGTTGACGTAACAATGTTTCTGCAACAATGTGGTAGTTCAAAAGAAAAAACTCAGAGTTCCTCACAGCTCTGCGTACTAGTATAGAGTCAGTAGTGACTTTATGGTGTGTTACTGTAAAATAAATGCACTGGCCCATATGAGGACATGCTTTCTTTAAAAGTAACAAGTACATAACAGGAAAAAGCTTCGACCTGATTAGGATATAAACTAACTCGTCACAAAGCGCTAATAGGTTTCTACACAGGACCCAAAGATGCAAAACATGAAGCATTCACAACTTGACCTTGAGTTGTGTTTACACTTCCTGTGAGGGTTTCTCTTCTATAGCACCTTTTATATTTAGAGCGACCACACGCCTCAAACTCACCCTAAAATGCTTAAACACACCGAAGCGTCAGGTAGTACATGCCAAACCAAAAGCTGTTGCATTAAAAACAAAAGTTTAGTTACGGAAAACACACACAATAAAACTTTAACACAACTTGGCACTAAAATAAACCCAACTCGGGTAGATTAGACTAAAATAAAACAAACAGTGCCCTCTGGTGGCTGAACTGCTGCATTGTTGCCTGAGTGTTTTGTAATTTTCCGAGTTCCTTTGGATGCAAATCCTTAAATTATGAGGCTAATAAAACATAAATCATACTGACACAACTATTAAGGACACATGGAAACAAACTTGAATCAGATATTTTCTATGGAGCAGTAACTGTAATGATTAAATCGGTTAATACATGAATTATACACTTAAAAAGTAGCTATAAAAATGTTATTGACTTAGTTTTGGTAGATTTTTGTTTTGTTTTATGAGAAATTTCTTATTAGATCCTGAGTTCCTTAAATTAGTCGAATTGTGAGTACTGATTTAGACATGATGATAATCTGTGAACTGTTTAAAACGGTCTTTACCCGCGTTTAAAGTTTATTTTTAAACTACTTTATTGTTCTCATTACATCTATTTACGGTGTGACTACTCAAGTAACACTAACTTATCAGACACTTGTCTTTTTTCTCCTGTAATAAAATCTATACTAAAAGACTGTTAGTTCAGGGGATGATCCAGCCAGCCCCTCATCTACTACTACTTTCTTTAATATCCTTACAGCACTTTGTTTCCATCTTTTCT